TGACAGCTCTGCCTCAGCATTTCAAACTGAGCGGTGCCGCTTTCCCAAGAAGCCCACCCACTCACTCTTGGTCCTGCACCGTCTCGTTCCTGGTGGGCCTCCCCCGCTGGGCCACAGACCAGGGCCGCGCCGCCGCCATGACACCCCGGCCCCCCGCACGGCACCCTGCACGTCCAGCTGGACACGGCGCAGCCTCTGAAGTGTCCTGTGGCTGCTCACCCTGCCCCCCCCGACAGCCACAGCAGGGGCCACAGTGCCCACTCCTGCACCGTGCCTGGCCGGGCCGCGCTGCCTCCGTGACAAATATTCCATAAAGATTTTTCCATGAACCAACACATGAAATCAACAGTTTAAGATGATCTCTTGGACTTAAGTGTCTTGATATACCCTATGCTCAGGTTTTAAGAAAACATTAAAAACGTATCACGGGCACCTGGCTGGCTCAGCCAGTAGAGTGGACGACTCTTGATCTTGGGGTTGTTCGAGCCCCACGATGGGTGTAGAGATTACTTAAAAAATAAAATCTTTCAAAAAATAAAAAATGTATGACATGTTTAACAATCTGAATGTCATATTTTCCATGTAAACCTATTTAAGTCTCTTAAAGGAAGAGTCTGTAACTAAGTTAATATGTACCACCTAACAAGGCGCCACAACAGAGGCTTCGGAGGTGAACAAAAAGTAACCAATCTTGTCCAGCTCTGCTTATTCTCACTTTCTCCACCTGGAACGCCTTTCCCCAACTACCATGAACCCCGCTCACCCTTCCCAGACTTGCTCCCTCAGGAGGACTCTGCCCCCCTCCGAGCCTCCCATCACTGTCTTCTCCATCAGCATTCTCTACCTGGTCTCACCCATTCTGGCAGGATCTGCCCTGCACACCTCAACCCTGGTACCATTTCTAGCAGGCCGGGAGAGCAACCTGTCCAGCATGCAAGAAAACAGATGTCCCTGGGGGTGAAGACAGAAGTAATATGCTTGAGCACATGGAAAATTTTATTAAGAGACCTTACTTACAGAGCTATCAGAGAGAGTGAGAACTCTTGAGAATATCAAGTAAACAGAAAAAAAAAAAGTGGCAATTGTTAAGTTCAAGGAAAGAGGAAAACAAAAAGTTGAACAAAAAGGAAATATAATCATGCCACTTTAACCGGCTCAAAGGTGAGCAACATTAACAAAACGATTAACCAAATTATGGATCTAAACAAAAATTGTGATACAACTCTGTGGGGAAAATGAGAGTTCAAAATGTAACTTTTTCTAAACTGACACATCGATGACCCTGCCTCTACACAGACATTGCTGGGAACTGTGGACATAAATGCTAACAGAAACAGCTAACCAGAACTACAGGCACCTCTGGGAGGGAGATGGTGGAGGGCAGGGCAGAAGCCTGCTGTGGCTGTGTTCAGCATGAACCTTTCAACACTATTTTACTTTTGAACACATGCACGTACCACCTCTGATAGAAGTGAAATTTGCAAGTAAGAAAAAGAAACAGAATCTCTAATAGAAGCATTTCAAGCAGGACATAAGTGTTTTCCTCCAACTTTTCAACCACACTACTCCCTTTCCCCCTTCAATAGTCTCTCTCCAAACCCTCAGGAGGCAGGCAGCTGAGGACAGCATGCGTGGCCTGAGCCTGGCCTCACCCCCCACCAGCTCCATACTCTTGAGAAAGCTACCGTGAGCTCTGACCATGACCTTTCCCCACCTGCAACATGGAAACACCGCCACGGACCTCAGGGACCCGGCCGGGTTGGGTTGCTCAGCACCCAGATGGTGAGTTAAGTGTGAGGATGACTGTACATACCCTGGACCTAAGGCACCTGGATGCAATCCGTCTCACTGCTCTCCCCCCCTTCACACCACGGGCCAGGCAGGCTTTCATTCTGACCGCGCCCCCACACTGCTCTGAACGCTGCCAGAGCGCCCTCCAAGTCGCCAAACCTCAATCCTCATCATGACCTTTCCTGACACTTCAAAGAGTTGATCCCACCCTCCTCCTGGAACTTTCTTCCCTTCTTCCCATGGTGCCAGTGCTTCTGGTCTCCTCACACCTGCTCTGTGCCAACCACTGCTCACGTTCGGCCTTGAGCACTCAATGGCAGAGTGGCTCAAGGCTCGGGCTGGCTTGTCCTCTCTGTGCTCACTCCCTCAGTGATCAGGGTGTCACTGCGTTTTCACTGCCACTTCCAGCTCAGACTTCTCTTCCCAGCTCCGAATGCCTATTTACAACTGCCTACATGACATCTCTACTTGGATCTCTAACAGGATCGCAAACTTAAAATGCCTATGAGTGAGCTCCCCATCTGCCCCTCTAAACCAAGTTCCACCCACAGCCTTCCCCCCTTCTAGGTGCCCAGGCCAAGAGCCTTCTAGTCAACTCCTCCCTCTGTCCTCACACCCCTTATCCAATCTGTCAGCAAACCCTACTGGCTCTACCTTTGAAATACATCCAGGGCCCAACTGCTTCCCAGCACCTCCAGTTTTCCTGCTGCAGTCCAAGCCTCCCCTGCTGCTCACCTGGCTCCCTCAATGGCCTGCCGACAGGTCTCCTGGTTGTCCTCCACCTTCCCCCACCCCCGGTGTCTATTCCCAACACACCAGCTTTTCAAAGCTCAGTCGAACCTCGGGGCTGAACACTGACGGACAGCTGCCTCCGCAGCCGACAGCCAGCACCGCCTGACCCCAGTGACTCTTTGTTTCTATAAACAGCTCCAGAACCTCAGAGTTCAATCTATGTCAATTGTTCTCAGCTGCCCTGATGCTAAAAAAGCTATCTTTATTCACAAAATGGGGGTTTTCAGATGGGTCTCCGGGCAACCTTCCTTTCTGTCTACTGCCTCCCCACACCCCATTCCCTGAAAATAATCTCCATACATATTCCAGCAGTTCAACTCCTCCAAAACTTTTGTTTTCCTAGAATTTTGGTTGTAAAACGCCTCCATCCCAAGTTTCTGCCTTATAATGCAACACCCCAAAACAAATCAAGAACCAAGAACCTCATCCATCCTACAGGGGCTCAAGGGGACCAGGGCACTCAGGTATATCAAGGGACCCAGATCTCAGCAGATCATTGAGCTGATGCTGTACAAAGCCAGGCTGACTCATGTGGCCTCACCATTTGTCCAGAATTGGGGGAAACAATTACAGAAACACTGGTTATAAGGTTATTTTCCTGGGTTTACATATTTTCAAACAGGGGTGGAGGGGAGGGGAGTGCCAAACTAGAAGCAGCAGATTATATCCCAGGGCTCAAAGTTCCAGTGAGCCATGAACGGGCTCTCAGTTCCCTGTAAGGCCTTCATTCCACTGCACACATTAAGAAAAATTTTTGTGTAATTTCTGCTAAATATGAAACTGTCTTGTGCTCTACCAAGATGAACTATTTTTAATAGCTAATGCTGCTATAAAGTTATAGTTGATATTCTCCCTCTTGTTTGGATCCACTAAGAAAAAAGAACTTATTTTGTGGCAAACATTAAATATTCCTTCATCCAGCATTTAGTGAAAACTACCTATGGGGTCAAGCAGAAAACACGCAGAGATGAAATAAAATCTTTGCCCTTGAAGATGCAGAAACAGACCTGTACCCAATAAATATAGCACACTGTTACAGGAAGAAACAGGGAATGTGCGGGGGCAGGGGGGGGGGGAGACAAGGGGTGTAAACAGCTGGGCGTGGCCTTCTCCAAAAGATAGCAGCGCCACACCTGGCGCAGCACACACAGAGCAGGTGCCTCTGGCAGCCAAGAAAGGGGAGAAGGAATTAGAGAAAAGGAGCACGACTTCCAGGCCTTACTTGGAAACTGAAACTGCATGACATAATTTCCCTTCCCTAATACCTAATCCTGACAGAAACAAAAGTGGGTTTGGGGGAGAAAGGAGAACAAAAGAGGAAAGTGAACTGACCCCCAGAAGGAAATGGAAAAACAATCCAGGGCCCTGCCCCTTGGACATCTAAGACAAAGACATTTGCCAAAGTCAAATTCAACATAATTATAAATGTTCCTGAATTCTGAATCCATGAAGTCTAAGTTCATGAGGCTTTTACCAAAGCAACGTATTGGTAAAATAAAATGTTTACCAATGCTAATACCCCAAGAGAGATTTATGAATCGTCTATCAAGTACCTGTCCTCGACTTACCACTAGGTCTACCAGAAAGAGCAGTCTTTGGAAACAAGACAAACTGGGAAAGAATCTCAATTCTACAACCTCCCAACTGTGGAGGGCAGCACAAATGCCAAGGTTACAAATTAACAAATCACAAATAACCCAATCTCTGGGGCTCAGTTTTCCTCTCATTAAAATGGGGAAAATGCCACCGAGTATTAATTGCTAACATTTGTGAATGCTGAGTACATTTCACATTTCTTACAGCATTTTCACCGCAACCCTGGGAAAGTGGTCCTGTCAACAGCACCCTTGGTCGGAGGAGAGAGCTAGGTTTAGGTAGTCAGTAAAGAGTTAGAATGGAGAGAAAGCTAGGTTTCGGTAGTTAGTGAAGAGTTAGTAAGTAAGCAGCCAAGCCAACATCTGAATCCAGAGCCCATAAGAAAAAGACATGAGTAAAAAGTACAGGCTCCAAAGCCAGACTGCGTCTGAATCCCAGCTTTGCCCTTTACTAACTTAGTAACCTTTAACCTCTGTTTCAGTTATGCAAATGTGAAACAGGGCAAAGGGTAGCCTCATTCATGGGGTTACTGGGAAGATGCACGGAGCAGCTGGAACTCCCAGTGTTTGCGGTGCTCGGGCACTCTTCTAGAGCACACGCTGCTACGTCACCACTATCCCGGACATTACTGTTGTCCCGCCTGCCTCGAACCATACATAAAAGGCACTAAACAACTAATACTTCTTCCCTCACCTACTGTGCAAAATCAACTAGCTTTATTTGTTTCTACTGTATGTCAAAGAAACCCTAAGAGAGATGAAAGAAAAATCAAAACAAAACAAAAAACCAAGACACAAACATAGCAAGAGAATTATACTCACAGTTCCGAAGGCCACGGTAACCCTGTGAAGAAATCCAACATCGGTTTAAAGGAAATGCCCCTAGCTTCTCTTTCCTCTTTCCATAGTCCTCCAAGAACCTGACAAGGAGAAACAACATGCGCATATAAAACCCTGAAGTTCTCCTGAACTCACCACCTCAGCCACTTCCATCACCTCCCATGCATGCCCACCAGGCAACACCTGGGATGAGGGGTAAAAACAGGGCACCGCATCCCTGTCTTCAAACCTACTTTCTGCTTAAAAAATACAAGTGAAGCAACTGAAAACCATTAAAACACATCAAAAATCGTAAGTTAATAGGGTGTAGTTAGTAAGTGCACGGTACAGTAACACAGTATAGACATCTGTTCCACTGCCTCCCACTGAAATTATACTTTTTTTTAAAAAAATGTTTTAAACAGGGGCGCCTGGGTGGCTCAGTCAGTTGAGCATCTGCCTTTGGCTCAAGTCGTAATCCCGGGGTCCTGGGATCGAGCCCTGCGTCGGGCTCCCTGCTCAGCGGGGAGTCTGCTTCTCCCTCTCGTCTCCCTCTGCCCCTCCCCGTTTGTGCTCTCTGCTCTCTCTGTCGTGTGCACACGCACTCTCTCTCTCTCTCAAATAAATAAATAAAATCTTTAAAAAAATGTTTGAAACAGCACAGGGAGAACTGAAAGGAGAAAAAGTCCAAGATTTTGGAAGCTCCGAGAAAATCTTCTAACATGGAAGACCGAGACCCAAACAATATAAAAGACTGAAGTATAGTAAATGAGTCAGCAGGCACAAGAGAGCCAGATCCTAATTCAGCAGTGGAACACACTGAGAACCAATTCCCCTTGCACAGCAGTGTCCTAGAAGACTAGAACTGGCAGCATCAGTGCAGACAGAACGGGGGTAAAGAAGGCACAGCCTCAAGTACAGAGGAGCTGGGCAAGGCCCTGGAAGCTGAAACTAGAACCTCAACACCAGGCACAATGTGACTCCCCCTTACTCTGACAGAAGATTCGGGGGGTCATTCCCTGGAAAAAGCAGAGGCATCTATGGACTAAAGTCACCCTGCCCAGCTGCACTGAACAGAGCTGGATTTAATGACTGTATATACAGTGAATGGTGAATTCTCCAGCTCCCCTACAAGAGACCACACACGCACACCCTTGGCTCCCAGATTCTGAAGTCAGAATTCTACAGGAAAGAGACAGGAGAATATTTCTGAGGAATCTGATCAGCCCCAAAAGACAGACCTAAAGATACTAACACTGAGGACCCCCTAACACATGGCCCCCCAGAATATCCTGATGTAAAAGTCAAAGGGCCCCACCACATCAGAGAGGAGAAGGAAGGAAAAAACCTGAAAGAAACAGAGACTATACAAACTATCAATAATATAGAGGTAAGACAACACTGCGATCAATAAACAAAAACAGGATGTTCTTCTCGAAGAACAGAAAAAGAGCCCTTGGAAATCTAAAGAACCTTTCTGAAATCAGAAATAATAAACTAAAGAAGAAGGTTAAGTCAAATTGAAGTCATCTCCCTGAACAGAGAATAAAAAGACCAAAAAAGGAAAGACAGACAGACAGAAAGAAGGAAAGAAAGAAAGAAAGAAAGAAAGAAAGGCAGGCAGAGGAGGAGGAACAAAGGAAGGAAGAAGAAAAAAGTATTAAAATAATTACAGTCTTTGCCCAGGACAGGCAAGTTCTGGATTGTAAAGACTTCCAGAAAAACAAAATAAGGAGACAAAAGGGAGAAAACCTCAGCGCAGTAACACCAAAAAGTATTCCCAGAACTGAAAAGTACCAGTTGCCAGAATGAAGGGACCCGATGAATATGCAGCACAGTAGATGAAAACCGACCCACACAAAGTATACCATCATGACATTTCAAAAGACTTGGACAAATTTTAAAACTCCTACAAGCTTCTAAAGATGGGAGGGAAAAAAAGTTACATAGAAAGGATAAATCAGAATAGCTTCTGAATTCTAAAACAGTAACATGAAAACAAGAAGGCAATGGAGCAATCTCTGAATTTATGAACCAAAATGAATGCCAATACAGAACTCTATACCCAGGCAAACTATCAATCAAGTTTGATTCCCACATGGTCCCAAAAGGTTTGCCGCCTAAGCATCCTATGTCAGAAAGCCACTGGAGAAAGTCCTCCACCAAAACATGAGCATCAACAAAAGATGAGCAAGGCACGAGCTTCCGTGAGGAAGGGGTAAGGGAGTCCCCAGGATGAGGAGGAAGGGAGGTTCCAGAACGATGTCTGTACACCAGGAGGGAGGGAAACAAGTCCATGTTGGAGTAGCACTGCTCAAGAGGAGGGACTGCCAAAGGCTGTCTTCACCTTGTCCAAAGACACTGTACCGTCTTTTTAAAGTAAGTAACGCCCGGGGGCCTGGGTGGCTTAGATGGTTAAGCGTCTGCCTTCGGCTCAGGTCATGGTCCCAGGGTCCTGGGATCGAGCCCCGCATCGTGCTCTGCATCGTGCTCCCTGCTCGGCGGGGAGCCTGCTTCTCCCTCTCCCACTCCCCCTGCTTGTGTTCCCTCTCTCACTATCTCTATCAAATAAATAAAATTTTTAAAAAAAAAATAATTAACTCCACCAAAATGAAGAAGTCAGTGAAGAAAGACAAAGACAAAAGTTGCCACAAACACCAAATCCAACTCTGGACAAAAGCCAAAGGATGAGAACAGAGGAACATCCAGGGACAACACAATAAAAGGCCTCAGGAGCAAGCAGCTCAGAAAAGAAGAGAGATCTCCAGGAAACTGTCTGCCAGGAATAAAATGTGAAGAAGAGATGAGTCTATGTGACTAACTATATAGAAAAATTACTAAGAGGCTATTGGAAGGTATGGGGAAAATAAGTAATAGATATAAAAAAGGTTAAGAATGTGGGGGATTGAAGAAAGAAAGATGAATCCCCGTCATACTGCCCTGCGCACATCTCTATCACAGGCCTTACCCACTGTACTACCATTTCCCTCTCCCTCACTCGGCTGGAAAGACCTTTTGGAGAGGGTCATTTCTCATCCAGTTATCACCTTTCAGAATCCAGTACAATGCCTGCTACAAGAGTATACACAAAAGCAAAGGGTTTTTGTTTGTTTTTTGCATTTATTCAGGTACTGAGTATCTACTATACATACCTGCTATCCTTCTAGAGAACTAGAATTCAAAGACATGTTGACCTTGCTTGCTTTTGAAGAGTTTCAACTTTTTTTCACGCCCGAGAAAACAAATATTTATCCTATATCCTCATTCTCCCAAGAATGAAAAGTCCACCAGGGGCTCACAGAACTTGAATAGTCTAGCTATCACTAATGGATATGGAACCCAAGACCTGATGATACTTTCTTGACATTACATGCATTGTGTAATATGAAAAGAGTGCCGGCTTGGGTATCAGGACACAGGGTTTCTAGTACTTTAGAATTACTACTTTTGAAGAAAAGAAAATCCCAACTCCTTGATATGACCTATCGGGCCCTGAATGATCAAGCCCAGTCTGTCTCTCATGCTATCTCCCATGAATCCCACAAAGCAGCAAAATTAAGCCATTTTCGGTTGACAGAACAACCTGTGCCCTCCCTCACACCTCCTCCACCTGGACCTTCCTCCCCAGGCTAAGCTAGACACACGTGCGGTGGGAGCTGAGCCCTTCCCCCAGGTGAAACACCTCTCTCCTGTACCCCTCAACAGGCCTTCATGTGACACGGGTATCTGTGGAGTGACTGACGAATGCCACACACCACACCAGGCCCTGGGACACACGGCAGCGGACGAGAGAGACATAGCCCTGCCCCAAAGGACTCCCGTGGTGTACCTTCCTGTTCAACAAACTAGAGAGCTTGTTAAATCCGGCCTGTCAGTGTCTTCCTCTCCCCAAACAGCAAGATTCTGGGGACAACAGCCTCTTTTAGCTCTGCAGCCTCAGCACCTCCATGCCAGGTAAATAATTAAAACACTAGTAAATAAAACCAAAGTGAAGGTCAAAAAGCCCCAGTGGTTGTGGCAGGTGAGTAACATCTGCCCTTTAGAAGGCCTTTTTTTTAATGTCGTTGTTTGTTTGTTTATTGCCTCGTTTCTGTTAGGAGTATAAACCTGAAAATGTCATTCAGGGAAATCTTGCAAGTCTGCTGGAATTGGCTTTATTCTCCTTGCTAAGTGCAAAGGCAAGACAGCCCAGTTACTCCCCATGTCTGGTTTCTGTTTGCCACTCTATGACCAACAGTGTGCACTGTACTGAACACCTAAAACACATAATCAGAACACATGTACTTGATGCGTGAATGACCTAATGATGAATAAATGAATGTATACACTGGCTTTGAGTGCCTTATAATTGCTCCTCACTTTATTTTCTATTTTAAGGAGAATTCAAGTAAATAGCACCATTGCATTTTATCACCGCTGGACCCCCTGCATGCCTGCCATTTGAACAGCGGGCAGCTTAGGGCATGCCACATCCAGCATGGAACTGATAAAATATAAGCATAAAAATCTGAACTAGTTCAAATACGCCAGGAAACTAGATATTTCCCAAACCCCATAATTAAAATGCTTAAATTCGTTTGCTCCAGACTAAGAAAAATTAAACTTGGCTCATTATACAATGCAATATATTGTCAGCTCCTTGAAGATATTTGTAAGATGGATACTCTCATTTTGGCATGAGTGGGTACATGTTAAGATACATACACAGAGATGCTCAGGCTGCTCTGAACCCTCTTCCCCGCCAACATGAGAACGAGAAATTCCCACCAGTCACAACATACTCTGAATCTACGCCTCCTGAACATGTAACATATTCCGCATAATCACTTTGCTTCTAATGTTCTCATTTCAGTGCATGGTCCAACCTGGACAGTCCCTGACACCCGCCTCTCACTCGCCCCAACAACAGTGACAACCTCCATCTGCGGAGGGTATGGTGTCATAGCATTCTCTCCCAAGTGCTTTACAAGCACTAGCTCCTGAATCCTCAACAGCCCCAGCTGATTGCTACTCTTTTCCCATTTTACATATGAGAAAACAAAGTCCAAAAAAAATTAAGACATATTCCAAGGTCACACAGCAAACAAGGGACAGCGCGATC